TCCTGTCAAGCTTTGGTTTTGTTTCATGCTCTTGTTCCATGTCTATCCTGTTATAGTCATGTGATCCTGCCATGTGAATGTGCAATGTTGTCATTGGTTGATTGTCTTGATTATGTTCACAGGTGTTCCTTGCCTAGTCATTAGTCTTGTGTATTTAAGCCTTCATGTTTGCCATGTGTCTTTAAGTATTTTTATCCACTGTTTGTAAGTCTATGTTCACGTTTTTGTTTTGAGAGTCATGCCACATCATGCCTTTTTATTTTTGATCTTATTCAGATTTTTTCTGTTAAATGATCTTGTTTTATGTTTGAATAAATACTGCACTTGGGTTCTTCAAACTTGCCTTCAGTGGATGTTATTATTTTGTTCCTTTCTATATTCAAATGTTTTAACTGAACTGTTTTTCACACAATACAGTTTTATTAACTTTATCACATGAAAGACGTTCCTTTTAAATGTTGCAGATATCAAGAAAACAGCGTGTAAATGAAATCTCTAAACTAAATCGATTGTATAATAACTAGGCTTCTGATGGAGACATATTTCAATACAGAATATTTCAATACAGAATATTTCAAGGAAAACCGAAAGGCATCCCAGATAGCAAACTGACATGGATTCAACGTGGAAATATGACATCGAAACAACGTTGATCTGACATTGTTTTGCTCATCGAATTAACGTTGAACCAACGTCAGACGCGTCATTCTTTCAAAACTAACGGAAAATCAACTTGAAATCAACGCGTTGTTTCAACGTTATGAAAGCAAACCAATTTTCGATTTTCATTTAGCTTTGAAGAATGCCGCGTCTGACGTTGGTTCAACGTTAATTCGATGAGCAAAATCAACGTTGTTTCAATGTCATGAGAGAAGTCGTTTCCACGTTGATTCAATGTCAGTTTGCTGTCTGGGATTAGACATAAAGCAAAACCAAAACTTAGTGTGATAGAAATGGGTAAAGAGAGAGGTACTATACATAAATTACAATATAAATATAGTACAAAGAAAAATAAAAGCTTATTACAGGGAGTCAAAATCGTATTTCTGAGCTGAAAGTGTTATACATTGTTGATTTCGTTTACGAATAATTTTTGTCACGACATTATTTTCACATATGAAATGAGACGATAATGAAATAAAAAATAGTTTTGAATGGAAAAAAAACTATGATGAAAATCTATAGAAATTTTCGTTAATGAATAAAAACTAGAAGAAAATGTTAAATATGGATGTTTTGGGAAGACATAGTCAGAATATAGGCCCTTTCACACCGGATGCGTAACGGAAAAGCGAAACGAAAAAGCGAATAGGTCGCGTGAGAATATTTCGCGTCAAAACCATTCACATCAGCCGCGACGCGAATTTGCGACGTTCAGAACTTCAACATTCCAAAACATTCGCGCCGATGAAAGCAGACCTGATTTTCATCAGAAAACGTAGGCTACTCTATACTTATTATTATAGCCTACTAGGTGAATAAATATAGATTTTATATTAGATGTCTTTTTGAAGTGATGTTAACATGATGCTTTAATAGGCTTAATAAAATAAAATAAAAATCCCAATCTCTAAATAGCACATTTTCAACTAAGCACATAAGTCCATTAGAAAAGATAAAGATGAATGCGTTAATTCTTACCGGATTCGATCAGTGCATTTTGAATTTATATTGTTTGTCTGATGATCTGGCAGCTTCGATTGGACCTTCTTTTTAATTATGTGCATGTCAGTAACTCGCAGTAACTACTGGCAGGTGGAGCTCACTTTCACCAGTTCACTTTAGGTCCACAGTTGCCTGGTTCCTTGTCCACGCAGCATTCATCAGAGCAAACACTCTCTCCACGAAGAGTTTGTTTGTTTGTGATGGCTCCATTAACGTCTGTGCTGTGCATTTTCTATGTTTTCTTATTACATTTTTCTAAATTGTAGAATCGTTATTTAAAGGACGATTAAATAAAAGGATGCAGACAAAAAAAATGCGGTAGCCTACAGTGCTATGACTTGCGGGACGTGGAACATAGCTTCTTCATCACCATCATTATCATCCAGTGAAGACAAGCTTTTTATTTTATTTAACAGCAGAAAAGAAGGTTTGGGGCACCCACTACCGGAGCTAGAAACATATGGCAGAAGGTGAGCTGTCCCATTCATCAGGTGCTACGTTTACATGCAATCAAATAAACACTTTTAGTAAACGTATTGAAGGCTCAAATGGACTGAAAAGCCTTGTAAACACCCGGTTGGGCTCGATACGAACGAACGAGCACAACGTCCCACCAGTCCTTGTTTCAGATATTCATTCACAGACTCGACACACAAGCAATCAGAAGGTCCGTCCGTCATTGCTGCGGTCACGTCACCTTTGTTTCCCTGTATATGATTGGCTGAAGCCTTTTCTTTCGCCTCAAAAATCGACATCGAAGCGAAAAAAATAAAAGTCGTTTTTTCGCCACAGCAGATTCGCGTTCGGTGTGGAAGCACTCATTACACAAACAGCTGATCAAAAAATAAAACCATCGCGCGAATTATTCGCTCGTCAAAATCGCGTTCAGTGTGAAAGGGCCTTATGTCTGCGTTTGTGTTAACGTTGGATGCGTATGGACTTGATGCACGTCTAATAAAATAAATGTGTTCACAGTGCCCAAGTTCTGAATTGAGCTATCTTTTGCGTCTGAATGGACGTGTAATGTAAATGTTTATTGTGTAAGCCTCACATACACAATGTATGGTAGCCATTTCTATGTGCAGTTCAATCATTAAATTTTCACACACGCAAATGTATAGCCTATGTATATTTGTGTGTTTAGAACAGTTAATTCGGTAACACTGGGAATTTCACCTGTACTGTAGTCTTTTTTTTTGTCCCATCTTGTCACACTGGTTGCTGGATTTGCTGAGGCAAAGGTGGAGAGGAGAGTGACTGCTCAATTGTCAAGCCATTTCACAGCCCTAAGATTAACCCCATTATAAATGGTCTCTTTTTCCTCAAAAGCCCCCCTTTCCTTTCCTTTTCATGTCTTGATCTGTTGGGAGACAGCATCCAGCCAGATGATTGGTTCTGACTGTGCCAATGTAGTCAATCTTCCTCTTTTCCAACAGCATCTGCAGGTCAACACTGGAGAACTAGTTGTCGAAGTACAGCTTGTGGGAGGTGTTGTCTGGAATGATGCTTGAAAGGGTAAGCACTATGTTACCACTAGTGCCTATGTCAGGCTGCCCTTTGCAAGGAGAGATACACCCAGTGTACACCTCAAAGTTGTAGACCATGGCACAGCTATCAGCAAGAACAAAAACTTTATATCCCCTAGCATTTAGGCTTCTTGGGATTGTACTGTTTCATGGGGTGTTTTCCTTTAAATGGGTCAATTGGTTCATCCGCACAAAGATTTTCATCAATTGGGATTGAACTGCTCCAAGAGGGATGTCAGTAGTGGGCGCACCCTATACAGCTTGTCATAAGTTGGTTCTCCAATAGGAGCTTGATTTAAGTTGTCAGCAAAGTGTAGATTGCAATACAGTCGATCCTTGTTGCTGACTGCCAGTACATTCGGCATCCTGGAAGTCCAAAGATTGACATAAAGAAACAAATGCCAATTAATTGCTCAATCTCCTTAGCTGTGACTTTGAGTGGTTTGCTAGGATCACACTGTATGGCATAGAGGTTGGTTTGTTCTATAATATTGTCAATGCAGCTGCTAGTAAGGAGGCATCTAAAGTATTAAGCAGGATGTTTCACATCTGTTGCCTTTGGCAATCTGCTTCTCCGTTGTGGTTCTTCACATACACTGGCATATCTGGAGAAGACAGAAATTGTTTAAAAGATTAAATGTTCAACACATTGTGGAAAATACATGAAAAAGAGACCTATCCACAAGTTTCCTACGCCCCATGAGGCCTTGCGTCAAAAGTGGGCGCGACTTCCGGTTGGAAGTAAACAAAGCGCGACATGCTTGACACTCGTTCATTCAACAGTTGACAGTAATTCAAGTTATAGCTATCCAAACTAGCTAACGATGTGGGAACATAATCTAAACGAAATTCAAAAGGGTGAAATAACAGTACCTTTACCCTCCGCAGTAGTTGATTGGGAGTATTATAATAACATTATTAATAATCAATACTCATCAAGGCATGGTGACAGACAGTTGTGCGAGCTGACCAACAATTAAAATAAAAAATACACACTTAGTCATTGTGCTTTGGAGTTTATTCAAAATTATAAATGAATGTGCTACTTGAATACATTAACTGGCACATTTGGTATTCTGTCAACTCAGGCTTTGATCCTGAGTTTAGGTGTAACATCAGTAGCGAACAGCCAAACACATGCTGAGAGAGTTTATAGAATATTAAGAATTTAAACAAATGTACACAGGAAGATTCGTCGTCTTTTGGGAGGTGATGGAAACTACAGTCGTTGGCAGGATCACTCTGATTTCGTTTTCAGCTTATGTTCAAAACAATCACGTTTAAGCCACTGAACTAGTTTAGTCCGGTTATACATACAACCGCGAACAGCACGTGTTGTCCATGAACTCCGTAACACCATCTCTCATAAAGATTTGCGTCTTTAAATAGTAAAATAATTCTCTGAAAAACGGCTAGCCTCTTCGCTAACTAACACACAAAATACCATTGGAATGCTACTTCCGCCGCCTCACCGGAAGTTTCACCCACTTTATTTTTTACAGGAGCGCCCCTCGGAAACTTGTGGATACATTTCTGAAATTAACCTTGAGTCACTGAAGATATTCCATACACTGTCTCACAGTGGCGCAAAAAGTGGGTATGCGCTATATGCGGCGCATAGGGGCGCAGCACAATGGGGGGCGCCAAAGCGATGGTAAAAAAAAAAAAAATTATATATATGTAACCTCAGGGGGGGTCTATTGCAACCAAATAATCATGGCTAAGCGACCGTAAGAATTTCAAATGTTTACCAGCAGGCTATCCCAATAAAGGGAAATACAAAGAGAGAGAGAGAGAGAGAGACTGGAGTATTATAAAAATAGAAAATTTATTTATTTCCCCTTTTCTTTGGCTCAATGGACTCACAACATGAAACAGTATTCAAAGGACATTAGGCCTCTGGGCAACAGAGTCAGGGACAACAAAATCCAAAATCAAAGTGTTCAAATAACTCAAAAACAAAATTCAACAAACTCAAAATTGATAAGGCACGTCAGAAAATCACATGCACAAATAGAACCAAAAAGAAAATAATTCACACTAGACAAACCAGTGGCCACACAACAAAATTGTTATCCCCCCCTACCCAGGATATTGCACTAACCCAATGGCCTAAAATACACACATTACATAACACACAACATACATCAACACATACAGGGGGAGGCTCATAGGCAACTCAATAGACGGTTCTTCCCCACGTACACATACACACACACACACACACACACACACACACACGGAGCTGAATCCTAAAAACAAGAGCACAGGAAAAACAGTGGCCAGGACAGCATATGTCGCTCCTCCTGCAAAGAACAATTACAATGTTACATAATTATACAGGTCGGCATCACAACTATGCCTAATTTGTAACCTGTACACCAATGGGCTGGGAATTACTTAAGATGTAAAAAGTTAAGCTGAACAATCAGAGCGGGGCAAGAGGCTAAAGTAGCCTAAAACACTAACCTGTATGAACAGACCACAGCATCAAGCCAAAAGCTTGGTTATTTATAATACTGTAGCAGACACTTTGCTCCGTCTGGTTTTTACTTGAACATTCCCAAACCAAACTATAATAAAGAAACATTGCAAATCAACAGAACTACATACATAAACGTTCCATGAAGATGTAAAAACGTGAGGGAGAAAGGAAGCCAATAAACTTACGTTCTCAGCACAACAAACGCACTCGGCAAACTTGTAGTTATCACTCTAAACCCGGAACTAATAAACAAAACATTAAATCAATAAAAGCTCATTACAGCAAGTACCTAAAAAACAGAGAGACAAACGCTGCTCAATAAAAACAAGAGACTTACGTCCTCGTTGAAGCACGCCAACACAAATCGCAGCCGATGAGGGCTCGCAAAGACAGGACACTAGCAGCACCCACGGCACTGGGTAATCGCACAAACACCAGATGAGGCTATGAAACAATGTAATCGTCTGAATCAAAATCACATATGCCAACGAGGTTTGATCTCACAATACATTTAAACATGAACTCACGTCAACTCGTACACTCAGCCAAGAGCCCAAGGAAGCAACAGTCTGTGACAGCACAAAATCAGAAAAACGCCAGCTTGCTGGATTTAAAGGTGTAGCGCCAAACAACCCCCACCTGATTCAATCAAGCGCAATTCTCATGGAACACACCCCACTCGCTACATATAGGCTATATTGTATTTCTATATGTAGCTGCTGTTGTCCGTTTCTAAATCATTTCTGCATTCCTTCAATGTTATATAAAATTTTAGAGGACTAACAGCCAGGCTAGAGTAGGCGCCCTCATGGAGAAGGGGGGCGGGTAATATCGCGAGCAGGCGGGGGCGCTGTGAGCGCTGAGCGAGCAGGTACAAGTAGCGAGTTGTCGTCGAAAAAGATGGATAAAACAAAATGCTGTGGGGCTAAAAATAGAAAAAGAAAGAGAGAAAAGGAGATGGCATGTCAATTGATGCGACAGCAGCTAAATAACTGCATGCATTGCTGAAAGCCAACAGGTAGGATTTAAAATGTGACATCCAGGCATGTAGGCTATCTATATCTCGGTGGCCATCGGGACTACCGGGAGATTCCCGCTGGGCCGACGTGCTTTTCAGCCAATACATTTCATCCTTTTTTAATTTATTTGTCTTAACGGCCCACAAAACTCATACATCGGCGGCCCATTTGTTTGTTTGTTGTTTGTTTTTGTTTTGTTTTTTGCTTAATTGGCGGCGCTGTGCTGGTGTAATGCATTGGTCAAAAAAGTCAGCTTTAGTTTTTTTTTCTGACACACTGGCCAATGAAACATGTCATTATGCGCAAGTATCTTTCAAGTATAGAAATTAGTGCAAAACTAATTATGAAAGTTTTCTTTATTTTTCCGTGCATTTGTTTTACAATAGCCTTTATGGCAATTACTATCATGGGATTAATATTATAACTATTATTATGTAGTAGTGTAATGTAGACAGACACTAACTAAAAGAGGATCAAAATTTTCTCTGTTTAATTTGCACCCTGAATATGGGTTGGAGCTTTTAATTTTGAACTCTCAAAGTGCACCAGACTGCTGAATTTAACATTACAGAACACAAAATTTTCTTACGGGGGACCATGCCCCCGAACCCCCCTAGAGAAACAGAGGTCCACCTACCACAGTTTTACCTAAAATCCTGTGAGAAACACTGCTATTGCTGTTACAATGGAGCTTATAGTTTTCTTAGGGGGGGGGGGTTCATCAAGGTGGAGTAGCTGTAGTTTAATTGTGTTATTTACGACAATTTTGCACTTATTTTTTTCTGTTAGATCTCATTTCTTCCTACTCACTTGTTACACAGCACACTTACATTACATTTATTTAATTTTTTTTTTTTTTTTTTTGGGGGGGGGGGGGGCGCTAAAATTGTTGCTGCATACCCCTCTGAAGCTGGGTAGTTGCGCCCCTGCTGTCTCATGCTGTGTAATTAGTACCCTCTCCCCCAAAGCTGGTGGAGTGGGACCAGGGCAATAAGAACAGTTGGACTCAAGGGGTTCAAAGAAGTATGGAATTCGTCGTTCTTTTGTTGACAAATCCTGTGGAAGGTTTTCCTGCACCCTCTTTTGCCGCCACAAATAATCTGTCAAATCCTGTATGTCAGTAGAAGCCAGTGTTGCCATTTCTGTATCTGCAACATCTCTGACCCTTTCATCCACAGCACTGTCTTGAGCATTTGGGTCAGTTTGACAGGAAAGGAGGAGGGGTTTCTCTTGAAATAGCCACCACATGCACAGGTATCTGTGGACGCAGCTTCTCATTCTATTGCGGCACTGGCAGTGCAACTTGCCCAGATGGCTATCAAAAGAGACTCTGGTCCTTTCGAACACCACTTGTCTCTTACCCCAGTAAACACAGAAAAATAAACTAACCTGACAGAGGTATGCTTGTGCCAAAAAATGGGGAAAACACAATCCACACCACCAGCAATACTTTTGTTTCTTAGCTGCTCACATTCATCTTGTCGGGTTTTGGACAGCAGGCCACTCTCAACCTTTGACTCTAAAGAGGCTTCCCTAAGTGCTGCTGGTGCAGAATAGCACACAGCTCTATTGATCCTCTGAAGGTGATCGCATTCAATGCCTGGATTGCCACTTTCTACTCCAATCCTAATAAAATTTCGACAAAGTGGTGACTCACCGGCAATAGACCTGAGACGACTTGTTTCTTTACGTGAACAGGGACTCTAGGTCCATGGGCATCTTTTGGGGTGACAAAAATCCCATTTCGTTCATCAATACAAATGACAGGTGGCTGTTCCTTAACCTGCTGCCCTGCCTTTGGTTTGTCTGATGATGGCATTTCTGAGGGACAATATATAAACATGCTAAAGTAGACCAAGATCAACAAATATTAAACCTTCTTAAATACCAGTAACAAAGGTACATACTGTCTGACTTGTTGGTAATTTTGCATGTAACTGAAAGATCATGCAAAAAAAAAAGGACAAAAGATGAGGTGAGTTAATCATAACATGAATGAAATCAAAATGAAACAAGACTTTAAAATTTAACTAATTACATTGCACATATTATGATTATGTACATGCTTTTAAAGTCAGGGGCATGACACAAGATGTGCTGAAACTTAGGGCAATGCCAATAGCACCTATTTTGTTGTCGGGCAATCAAACAAAAAGCAAGGAATACAATATTTTTCTAGAAAGACAAGAGAATTTTAATACATTTGAACTTACAACAAACATGTGAAATGCATGTGTGCTTTGTACAATGCTAATGGATGCCATTGTCCTCAAAATGTATGGCATGCTTTACATACTTTTCCTGAGAGCTCAGAGCTCAGGACTTAACATTACCCCAGTTGTACAGACTGCCTGTCCCAGAAAAGACGTTATCTTTTCCAAAAGCAAAGGGTATTCCTACACATGCAGTGTATACAAGAAAATAGCATACCTCAAAAAATTTATTCATATATGAAGGTTGACATTTTTAGAAGTCTAATTACATCTTTAACATGGGCAGGTTTTTGAATGTTCTGCTCAAATTAACTTAAGTTAGTAAGATTTTGGGAAATAATTAGCTTCTTACCTGCCATAATTGTTTGGTAGTTACGCAAGAGGTGTAGAACAGGGTGTACACAGAGTTAGAGATAGAAAGGTAGTTCTTAAAAGGACTGTTTTTTCAAAAAATGCAATAGTATTAAAACAATATCAGATAATCCCAGAAAAATTAAATACACAAAAAACGATATGGTTAGTGTAGCACATTTAGGCTGAGCTTGTCAATAATTCCAATTAATCAGCATTACCTTTATTCTAATCAATAGATTAAGTTACAATGTTAACAAGCGCTAAAATGTAATGGTATTACTAATAATATTATCGTTGTATTTTAAGTTAATGGTAGCCCCTCGCAAACCAGGACCACACGGTGCACAAGCTGCGTTTCTACAAATGATTAAACTAGCAAATTAAACTAAAGTAGGCACATATACACTGTCTCTAACATAAAAATCCAATTTACAGAGCAACAATTATTTATTAATCTGATAATTCATTTACAAACTTACCACGCCCAAAACCGCAGCCATTACTGAAAATTCACAGGCGCCACCAATGGCCTGCTGTCGCTTGACTTCAAGTTACATGTGATTGGTTGCTGCTACGTTGGACTATACAGATTGGCTGCCATGACCTGGCAGGTCCCTCCTAATTTGGCAGGGATTCGGCTGTCAACGGCAGATACTTCCTGCTGCCAGTTCATAGAGGAGCTTTATCTCTAAACTGCAGCTCTGACTCTATTCTGCTGTTGGTGTGTTGTTTTGGAGTGAACTGTAAACTTAGGGAAACTCATTAAGGATACTCAACAACATTTATTTATAATATCTCAATTTAAAGAGCATATTGCAGGTAACAAAAAAAAAATCTAAATTAATATATAACCTTGTATGAAAATACCATATGAAAAGTTAATGCAGGATTTACAATGTTTTAAAACAACATAAGAGCACTAGTTATTATGTTATTTTACATCATGAACGGGAGCCTCGTTCTCGGCTCAGTGCAGAGTAGTGATGAGCGATGCTTATTTTGTTTTCATTAGACCTTATGCACCAGAGAAACGTGGGCGCCGTCATCTTTAGAATATTGTCTTTGAACTTCCGTTCTTGCGGTCGATCTTTGTATATTTCTATGGCATCGCTGTCTAGGAGTAATTAGCAGGTGAAGTGGATTTACTTATTGTAGAGTTAACAAAAGTTATCATGAGTATTGTAATGTTTATCATAAGCATTGTAAAGCAGATGTCTTTACAAATGTCGACCGGAAATTTTTTTACGAGCAGTTCATTCATACCTATGCAAGATCGCTGTGAAAATACAAACCGCGGAATTCAAAAGACAACGAGTGCAGTGCTGAAAAGGGGCGGGGCTACATAAGGTCTATTCAATACTAATACTTTCAAGGCCAGTTTTGTCGAAACTGATACCAATACCAATACGATACCTCTAAACTGAACTTTAAAATTTGAAAAATTCTAAAATTATTCAGTTA